AAACACTACTTTATTAGGTATTACATGGAGCGAAGACGAAAACAAAATGCCATCAAATCTTTTCTGAAGACAGTCAGAATCTTCAGAGGTACACTCATATAATTAATTCATCCATATATTCATTTGTATAATTCCCTTAGCACTCTTTAAAACCACCCCGCTTTTCCTCCATGTTTTCACACAAAACTAAACCACTGCTGCGGTGCGCACGTGAGACTGTTACTTAAATTAAATGTTCCCTCCTGGTGGAATGACCTACCCAACTCAATCTGAGCAGCTGAGTCCTTAGCCATCTTCAAGAAACGGCTAAAAACACATCTCTTCCAGCTTTATTTCACCCTCTAACCCTAGCACTCTCTATTCTAATTCTGTTCTTAAAAAATTCCCCTTTTAGACTTGCACTCTATTCATTTGCGGCTTGTTTTCTTTATATAAAATAAATAAATAAATAACACTTGCTTTCTAATCTTTTTGTATTCTATCTGTTTTATTTTCATTTAACTAAAGCAAAAAGACCTCTAACACTAGATTGCTCTATTCTTTTTCTATTCTATCCGTTTTCTTTTTATTTATTATTTTAAAAACGACCTCTAACACTAGATTGCTCTATTCTTTTTCTATTCTCTCCGTTTTCTTTTTATTTATTATATAATAAATAAAAAAACTTGCTACGTGTACTACGTTAAGCTAACTGAGACTTGTTATAGCACTTGTATATCATTGCTCTTTTGTTGATTTTGATTGCTTCTATTGTCCTCATTTGTAAGTCGCTTCAGATAAAAGCGTCTGCTAAATGACTAAATGTAAATGTCACTGTGAAAACATTGAAAAAGATTTCAGTATTATACTGTTACTATGATGTTAATGTTAATAAAGAGACGCTACCAAGCTGCGCCTGCGGAAAGACACTGAAGTTTGCGTGTGCTTTTGTTTCTCCTGATAATTCAGGTACTTTTAATCTGCTTACGTGCTCCGCGCCCGGGACCCATAACACATGTGTGTTTTGTGTTACATATTTCATTTAAATGATGACGAATGACAGATTGGAGATGCTTTTTCTGTGTCTTATATATAGAAGTGCAATTTGTTAGCAATGAGCTTGCAGCCCTGGTCCGAGAAGACGCGCTCCCCTTTAGGGAAGAAGATTAGGTCATCAGCCATTCTTTTAACCACATTGTTATCTGGGGTGTGACCCATTCCGGCCATCTCAGTCAAACCACACTGAATGACGTGCTTGTACTCCAGAGGAAGAAACGGCACGAAGAAATCCACCAGTTTCTTATCAATTAAACTAGTGTGCCAGAAACCACCTGCGGAAAGAAAGAAGAATGTGCAATTATAAAAGCAATAATAATATAAAGGTAATAAAAGGTAATGTGGGATTTTTCAACTCACTATGCTATACTTCAGAAAACGGATATGGCTGTAAAATCTGATTGAATGAGCCACCTGACCAATGCGCTAATAGTTTATACAAATAATGACCTCTGTTATGCTGCCGGTTTAATGAATATCATTACTTAAAAGGGTCATATAATGCTACATGCACTTTTACAAGTTGTTTGAACTGAATTGTGTGCTGGCAGTGTGTGTTTTTTAATGTGATTATTATTAATATATAATAAACATTTGTGTATTATCATAATGCTACTGTTGGTGTTTAATTACTAACTTTACATTTTACTTATTTAATTACTAATTTTACAACACTTTTAAATGTTTAGTGATTTTATAACATGTTTAAGGTGCAAGTTGTACCCAACAACAGCTTTTAATTGTAAAATCACTACATACACTGTTGTATGGCTTATTGCTGTATTAATTAACAATCCAACTGCTGTGAAGATTCTCTGCTCTACTAGCAGATGAGAGCAGAGAGACACTTGACTTACTGTCTTCGTTGTTGAACACAGACTGTGAAAGTTCTGTCTCTAGATCCTTCAGCTGGATCTCCTCTCGTTCTCTACCATCCCTCCAGAATTTCATAGTCACCTCATTGATCATCTTACCCCCAGCATTGCTACAAAAACAAAAACAGCTGGCTTACAGAGGCTGTTTGAATGGGTCAAAAGTTTTCTGTGCCGATGACACTGACCTGAGGAAGATGAAGATGGCCTGTCTGTACGAGACTCCGTCCAGGTAGTCTGAGAAGTCCAGGTAAGGTTTTATACTGACGATCAGCCCGGGAGGCATTTTATCCATTTCATCGAAGATGAACATTGAACGTGGGCAGATGGCAACATTACTTCGTATCCACTCCTGTAACCACGTCTAAACACATGCAATCATACATTTTGAACAGATATTACAGTTAAAGGACGCAAAAGATTAATATATTAAAACAAGTTGGTGCAACAAAATACACGTCTTTTCTGTGTATTTGCATATTGTGCATATACTGCATAAACTCGTTACCTTGTATGTGTCGATGTTAGCCTTGTGAGGAAAGTGTGCTGTCACTGAAAACAGATGAACGAATCTGCTCCTCATCTTTTTTTTGTAAATATTTTCCGCTATAAGCTGGCTCGCAAAGTTCTTCCCTGTCCCGGTCCAGCCGTGGAGGGACAGAACCAGCGGTTTCTTTGGGTTTTCACTCTCCATGAAGCCTGTGACGGCTTTCAGGATGACCTGAGCAGCGACATGCTGCCCGTACAGCTTTGTTTCGATGTCATACTTCAGTCCTGTGGATGAGAGGACAGATTTATAGCGACTACATTTTGGCATGCTGTACTGATTTACAAAACATGCAACATTCCAGCAACATCTAATTGGTGAGATTGTCCAGTGCAGAGTTTGAGCCAACATTCTTTTTGGTATTTTACCATTGTGCCACACCCTAGCACTGCCTAGTAATATAGACACAACAAATAGAACTAAAGTTATATAAATGTATAGGCTTACTGCACATGGGTTGTTGACGTGACATGGCATTTTCACTGTCCCACAAGATAAAAATGAACATAATTAATATTGTCGTTATTTAAAAATGCAGTAAATGGTTAAATATTTCTTTGTCCTACATGGACCTGTTGTTCTAAAAGCTGCAGTGTTATTCGATTTTTTACATTTTTGAGCCAAATCTCAAAATTGTCCTATGGTGTTGGTGAGATTGTCCAGTGCAGAGTTTGAGCCAACATTCTTTTTGGTATTTTACCATTGTGCCACACCCTAGCACTGCCTAGTAATATAGACACAACAAATAGAACTAAAGTTATATAAATGTATAGGCTTACTGCACATGGGTTGTTGACGTGACATGGCATTTTCACTGTCCCACAAGATAAAAATTAACATAATTAATATTGTCGTTATTTAAAAATGCAGTAAATGGTTAAATATTTCTTTGTCCTACATGGACCTGTTGTTCTAAATGCTGCAGTGTTATTCGATTTTTTACATTTTTGAGCCAAATCTCAAAATTGTTCTATGGGGTGACTGTCTCAAGCATGGTTCAATAAATTACAACTTTTATAAATGAAAAAGAAAAACATAAAAATGTTTATAAATACCTCCGGCATAATTGTACAAGTGTCTATTTTAGTAAATGGCAATCATTTTTTTCATCCATGTATTTTTGAAAGTGTAGGAACTTAATACATTTTGTCTCTGAAAACCATGTCCTCTGGTGTGACACCATATCCTGATTTTAA